ACGGCTAATGGAAAAATCCTGTCTCCTCCAGAAATGAAATCCCGTATGACACGCTTTTAGCTATTCAATTTATTTATTTTTAATAAGGAAAATGAATTAACAAAAGAACGTAGACTTTGCATGATGAGGTTAATAATTTGTGGACTAATTCAGCGTGATTAAAATAATGGGGGTGACACGGGCCGGACATGCATTGTGAAATGTACATAGCACTTGGATCTAACACTGTCGGGGAAATAAACAACTTGTAAGACTCATATGCAGATGGGGGAATACAATTAAAATTAATCTTTAAATAAACATGAGGGTGTGGAATAGATTAATTTGTCTCGTGAAATGCTCAAATGGCGGGGGATTATGAAAACAGTAATGAACAGTACAACTTTTATTTTGTATTACAAATAAAAAGCGATTCTACACGTAATCAGTAGAAGAAAAATGTGTGTGGCAGGAATTATTCTGAAAGATGTATCAAGATGTGAGGAATTAATCTTCTGTGGACCAAAGACTTGCTTGAGACGTCAATATTTCGTTCAGCTCGTCAAGAATTCGCCGTCTGTTATGGGAAGTTCACATCGATCCCCGTTCTGAACAAAATGAACCCAATCCACACCATCCCGCCCTATTTACTAAGCTCAATTTTATTAATATTCTCCATCTATGCCTAGGTCTTCCAAGTGATTTCTTTCTCCAGGCTTAAATTAACCATCGTTTCGATAAATATCTAAGTTACAAGTACTAATCCTGTTGTTATTGCTGGATGTTTAGAGCGATCCTGCACCTTAACTCTGACGTCAGACGAACCTCACACTTTTCCTCGCTGGACGCTGCGTGTGTAACGAAGGTCGGGCCCTTCACTACTTAGTTCCCTTCCGCGCACTATTTTCCGTCTGCTCACTCCGCGCGACAAGCTTTGTTGGCTCTTCTCTGATCAGTTTTGTTTGTATGCTCTTACAATAGAGAGCGGACATGGGTTATGAAATATGGTGACAGCCATGTCGAGACGCCGTTAAACAATTAACACTAATGATCCAACCAGGCAGGAAACGACGGGCGTATCGATGCACTGCCTTCTAAATTTAAGTTAATTATAATGGAACTTGACGTGCACTGCGTTTAGAGTCAAGCAGAACGGAAAGGCAGTGAACAAAGCGGTGGAAGGACAATTAAAAGTGTTTAGTCTGGTGAGCCGGTGGCTGAAACGATGTATCTCTCACGCCTCCAACCGACTTTCATCAAGACAACGGGTGTGGAACCTGCACTCCACTGGAGTACACATATTTGTCCTAAATGCGTCGTTCCTTTCATAACTCATTGTTTGACGAACGGACACACATTAAGAACTTAGCCTGTGCAAAATCCCGCATAATGACGCAACCAAAATGAACCACAAACCCTTTTAACTCCAGTAAAATACATTTTTTCAGACAAGCTAAGAAAGGTGTACTATTCCAAACACAAAATAGGAAATATGTCTTCCTGGCTCTATTTATATGGCAGTCTAAGTAAATTAAACCCCTGCGCGAGATTCAAACCTACGACCAATCGAACAAAAAGTATCTGCTCGTACACGACCCGATATGCTGTCTGTTGCAACGCTGCTGCACGCAAGTCCCAGGAATTCGGTCTTCTAAATGAGACTGAACCAGAAGTCTTAGTTCTTGATAATCAATTTAGCAGAGCTACATGATCGGACCTACACCACACTACGACCAACAATAAATTCCACTCCTAAGGTGGGAAGGTAGCGCACTGTCGGTATTGTAGTCCTCGCACTATTACCGACCTCGATATAAGCCATGATGTAAATACGCGAAATATAAGAAAAGGATTATTGTCATTTTAATTCCATTATAAATGGGAATTAAATTTAATTAATCCGATAAGTTGGACAGTGCTGGTAACGGCAGACGGCTGAAGATAAGACGAAACTGTAAACCTACAAGATGAGACGACTAACAGAAGCACAAAGTTACGAATGAGAGAAAATACGTAGGTCGATACAGAAATAAATTTGCCTAATCCGTGGATATAAGGAGATGAAGAAGAATGAGTTTTCGTTTTACTATTTTGAATACTCTGTTACCTAGGAATTTTGAGATTGGTCTTATTTTGTGCATCTTCATCAACAAATCTCTTCAAAGCAAGACCAGACATTGTAGTTTCCATGGTAACAGACTAACACAATGTAGGATTTGAGGTTTTCACGACGGTGAGTCTAAAGAAGGCTGCCCTGATGATGGAGGCAGCAAGGATCTCTGAAGTGTCCTCGGTAAACTTCTACCAGACTACACGGTGTAACAACTCGGAGAAAGCCATCGCCAGAGTAATACAATTTCTGCAGAAATCTGCAGACTTCCAGCACCTCAAAAGCCAAAGTCTCCGCCATTGGACAAGATGCTGATACAATTCTTCCACCTGTGCTCATGTGATCTCAAAGTGTGAAACCGCGTTTCAGATATTCGTCAAGTACCTAGAAAAACTCTTACAAATATTCATCTTTATTTTCGTAAGCAGAAGTGACAAGAATTTCCGAACTGGTATCTCCTGGGTAGCTAACAGCAAAAAAGACCCTCTTTGCCTTAACGCTTAAGAGACGAGCGTTGTTAACTGTCTGCTACTTGTTCAACAGCAAACAAATGAGCACTGTAAGGAAGACGCATTGCATGATGGTACTTTCACTGTGTAGGCATTTTTTTAAACTCAGGAATTCTGAAAGGATGTGATTCTTCTTCTTTTTCTTCTTATTCTTTCCAGAATTCCTTTTATGAAATTTGTTTCTGCGCTGTGAGCGACTTCTGACAATAGTAAAGTGGTTGTAATGGCGGCGCGCTCTCCCGACAAAAGCCACTTCTTTTACGCGTATCTTCTCCTTCTTTTGTGTATTTCTTCGTCTTTGTCTTCGTTCTGTAATCTGGTAATCTGTCTGCAGCCTTCACAGCAACTAACACGTCTAGTATTCTAAAGTCCACAGAACAAATTGTGAAGATTCCAGTGAGCTATTTCCGAATTTAATAAATTATCAAATATTAATACAAATAATCGAAAGATACAAAAACGTTTCCATTGAAGATGATGGTATTTGGAGATGTTGTCTCGTGTTGTCGCGTAAGAACCTCTGAAACGTCGGTAAACTTCTACCAGACTACACGGAGCAACGTCCTAGAAGACATTTACATTCCTGCCTCATTGGCTTTGCCATTAACTTATTTCAGCTACGAATTTATAACATCATCTGCCAATTGTGACAAAAGAATTTGAAAGATAAGATCGTGGACTATTTTAAATTAATATCCCGGCATTCGCCTTTAAGGGCTGAAAATAACCATGAAAAACTCGGCTAGGCTACAAATTTGAAACGGGTACCTCCGAAATTCAAGTAAAAAAATGTTTTTCCTACATAAACTGCTCTGTGACACTTACTGGTACCTTGTAAAATTAAGAAGATGCCTATCAAAATCGTGGGCAAGCAAGTAGGAGGGGGCGGAGACACACACACACACACACACAAAATACAAGAGAGGTCTTCCGTTATTCGAACGGCGTGTACTTCATTAGAGCCGCTATAATCCTCATCAGACATGTTGACAGAACATCCCCGTGACGTCACAAAGGGCGCAACTGTCATTGGTGAACCGGACTATGACTTACGCATATGTGTTAAAGTGGCATATGTGTACGCAGTTAAAGAAACAGGCCCTCGTGTCAAATGATCCAACACACTGCAATGTGAAGAAAATTTCGAACTAGACGCAAAGACTGGGGTCCCGAGCTGACTGAATTCAAAACACACTTCTAATCGTCACCCGTAATCGACAGAAATTGAATTCTAATGAGGAAACTCGTTGAAAATAGCTACTTGAAAGACCGAGAAGAAAATGGGATGATAACATTAAGACATATATTTGGATACTAGATTTTGAGAATAATATAGTTTTTTTTAGATGGATGGACATAACTGAAGGTCGTGGATCTTTGATAATGGCGGTGTTGAAAATTTTGGTTCTGCTACCGGAGAATTTGTTTAAATATACGACGAAACAAACATCCGTCAGATAACAGACTCCGAACAGAACTATAAGGACAAGATATATTTTAAAAGACTACTCGAGTTGAGTGTCACCTGGATGTAAACAGAAATGTTTCCACGACCTTTGTCACAACGATGAGCAGGAAGCGATCCAGACATATGCCGCTGTTGCTCTCAGAGACAATGTTAACCATTTATCGTGAACTTATGGCATTGCAGTGAGACATTTGTCAGTGTGGCTTTGGTGAGTGTATTTCTACTGATAGTGATCTCACGGGACTCTACGCCACTCACAGCAAACCCATCGTTAAGGTGAGTTTCTGATCTTCATTACTTATCGATTTGTGGTAGACTTTATCACAAACCTGTCTTATTTGTTCTAGACCTAAAGTGTATATTTAAGTATCCTTCAATTTAATCATAAGATATAAATTATGCACCTGTTTACATGGAGATTATTGTTCCACAGTATTCAGTACATCGATTCGTGAAATATCACACTGTACAATCTTCAGTGAATACAGATTTTTGCAAATTAGTGGCATTTTTTAGATTATAATTTTTTGGAGGAGGGGGAATTACTCTATGATTAAAAAATCTGGCATAATATGTCCTTCTATTTTATAATACAAAACATAATTTACATTTTCTTGAACGTAATAACATATTTTATTCAATAACTTTTAACTGTAAGCTATTAGTAGTTTTATTTACAAACCAGAAACAATTTCCATCAGTAATTCCTATTTCTGATAGTTTATTTAATGATTTGGTATCTGCTGTCGTGCAATGGCATTTTAAGCAAAACTTTGATTCAACCCCGATTTTAACACCGAATATCTATCACGCAAGAAAAACAAAAATTTACCGGTACAAATATTCTCAAAAGAGGGCTTACTGTACAAAATATTGGCAGACTAGATATGAAATATGATTTACAAGCGTGGTTTCAATAATTTTTGTTACTTACCAAGTGAACTCTCGGCAGAGTGATTGGCGACAACAGACAAGAATCTGAAGAAAAAAAAATCATCAAATTCCATGAGTGAGGTTAGGTTATACAAAATCACAAATATTCTGTAAAATACTTACACCCGGGACAAAGAGTTCAGAATTTGTGGACCCACGAGATACAAGTAACAGTACAATGGAGATAAATACATAAGAAGCTTCATAAATGAGACGCCCAAAAAATAGACAACCCTGAGTGAGATTTTTCGAGATTTTTTTCAGTCCCTCCGTCCAAACGCTGGGGTAATGCCTTAAATTAGACCACGACTGCTTCCTTCTGCATTCCTTCCAATTCATCATTAGTCCTTTTATTCGACACTGCGCCATCTTTACAAGTGACTTCATTCTTTCTTTCTTGAAATTTTGTGTATAAGAACGCACGCGTGCAATTCCTATTGAACAAAGGCTACTACTGATAGTGATCTCACGGGACTCTACGCCACTCACAGCAAACCCATCGTTAAGGTGAGTTTCTGATCTTCATTACTTATCGATTTGTGGTAGACTTTATCGCAAACCTGTCTTATTTGTTGTAGACCTAAAGTATATATTTAAATATCCTTCAATTTAATCATAAGACATAAATTATGCACCTGTTTACATGGAGATTATTGTTCCACAGTATTCAGTATATCGATTCGTGAAATATCACACTATACAATCTTCAGTGAATACAGATTTTTGCAAATTAGTGGCATTTTTTAGATTATAATTTTTTGGAGGAGGGGGAATTACTCTATGATTAAAAAATCTGGCATAATATGTCCTTCTATTTTATAATACAAAACATAATTTACATTTTCTTGAACGTAATAACATATTTTATTCAATAACTTTTAACTGTAAGCTATTAGTAGTTTTATTTACAAACCAGAAACAATTTCCATCAGTAATTCCTATTTCTGATAGTTTATTTAATGATTTGGTATCTGCTGTCGTGCAATGGCATTTTAAGCAAAACTTTGATTCAACCCCGATTTTAACACCGAATATCTATCACGCAAGAAAAACAAAAATTTACCGGTACAAATATTCTCAAAAGAGGGCTTACTGTACAAAATATTGGCAGACTAGATATGAAATATGATTTACAAGCGTGGTTTCAATAATTTTTGTTACTTACCAAGTGAACTCTCGGCAGAGTGATTGGCGACAACAGACAAGAATCTGAAGAAAAAAAAATCATCAAATTCCATGAGTGAGGTTAGGTTATACAAAATCACAAATATTCTGTAAAATACTTACACCCGGGACAAAGAGTTCAGAATTTGTGGACCCACGAGATATAAGTAACAGTACAATGGAGATAAATACATAAGAAGCTTCATAAATGGGACGCCCAAAAAATAGACAACCCTGAGTGAGATTTTTCGAGATTTTTTTCAGTCCCTCCGTCCAAACGCTGGGGTAATGCCTTAAATTAGACCACGACTGCTTCCTTCTGCATTCCTTCCAATTCATCATTAGTCCTTTTATTCGACACTGCGCCATCTTTACAAGTGACTTCATTCTTTCTTTCTTGAAATTTTGTGTATAAGAACGCACGCGTGCAATTCCTATTGAACAAAGGCTAAAAGAGAGTGAAGCTAATTTCTAATTACTTAACCAAATGTCCTTTTGGTAGCCGATACTGCACTGTTACATTGAAAAACAGGTTATTAGGCAAGTGAAGGTTGGAAAGCGTCGCCATGACGACCGTGGACTCGGTCGCGTGACCGAAGTATTTCGCACGACAGCCAACAGTATGAAGAACATTTATTTTACTTTAATAATTGTGCGGTGTAACCAGCAGCTTGGATTATTGAAGCCATTACGTAAAACGAGGACCAAATCAAGTAAATTTCAGGCGGACGAAACCCTGATACATGGAACTGAAACAGCTGTCCGTGTCCCGCACGAAGCTGACTGCAATCTACATATAAAGAAGTGACTGACATATTTGTTCATAATACTATTAAATAAGACCTTCGGTTTCAATCTAAGAAGGAGCCCGCTTTCCTTGTATTTGAAGCATTTCAGTCTCTCGCTGATTACTATAGACCACTTTAACAGTAGTATGTAACGTTATTGTTCGTATATCAGACAGAATCATAATGCCTTAATGGTTTTAAATTTTGTTTTTAAAACGGCGTCTACAGCCTTAACATGGGCCCCAACCCTAAGGGCACACGCCCCCCACAAGCCCATCCTCTGCGCGATCATGCCACATGTGTGTTTTATTTTTAACAAAAGTCCGTGCCCCCGAGGCATCATGACTGTCCAAATTACACCAATTACTACTGCCCCACCTATATTTATTTCTATGTTTCATTTATTTATTTTTTATTTTACGAAACCTGAGCTTCGTATTGCAAAAATCGTGACTCCATTCTGTGACGGTTACTAACCGTTCCAATTAATTTTATTATCCATTACAAATTATTCTATTCTGATATCATACAATCAGTTAAGTTATTGAAAAATAGTTCACATTCTTCTCAAACCCATCGGATGTTCTCAAGAGTTTGTCATAAATTTAAATGGATTGAATGAACAAGATGTCTTCTACAAAGGGAATATATATAGACCTGTGTGTTATAACCCCACAAAGATAATTCATTGCGAATAAAACTATATGGAAGATTTTAAAAATCAAACTTCGCGAATTCTTGACGCGAACCACAGTTTACAAACTCAGACACAACAGATGAAGCTGCTACAAATAAATACGAGTTTATTTTAATAAAAGTAAAATTTCAAGGTGCAGAAATAATGAAGTGCGATTTCTAATTCTGTTCTACTCTGGTCTTATAATATCCGCTTTTGATATGTAGGACTATCTGAATAAATTTTATATTTGTAAATCGCAAAGATTCATTTCCAGCGTCCCTGTAAATAAAATTGATTGCAAGGACAATATTTCTTGCTGAAAGTATACATCAATACGCGCCTCAGTAGATAAGGAGACTGGTTGCATGCTAGAAGGGGCTAAGTTTG